TTTGTGATGTAAATAAATGCAAAATAAATTATATGTTGATTGAAAAAATTTAATAATATAAAATATTAAGAAAAAGAATAGTTAAAATTTGGTATACTATTAATCATATATATTAACAACAATATATCTAAATTGAAGTATAGAGAATAATGGAGTTTCTATTATTATTATTTCAGGCTCTAGTGACTTGGCTGGAACATGATCCAGAAAACAGAAGCAAAGATGCCAGTACATTATTAGGTTTAGTCAAATTACCATTGCTATCACCCGCGGTGAGTTCACTGACAGCTCAATTTTTTACTTGGCAGAACTTATGCATTAGATCAACTAATAAATTAAAACAGTTTATAGCTGATAATATTGAGAGTAACGAAATGTTCAAAGACCAAAGAATGGCGCAGGAATTAGTAATGGAAGCATTAAAATATCATTTGCTGCCTGAGCGAAGGCCTTTGCTTCAAACAGGTAGAACGAAACCTAGAAAAGCTACTGTGGGTACATTATTAGCTGTTGGAGGGATGGATGCCAATAAAGGTTTTATTATATGCAAAATTAATTATTTAATATTAGTTGCTATTAATGTAAAAACAACATCAATACAGTATCACACTCTTTTAATTTTCCCAAGAAATAATATGCAATATAATGTCCAGGTGCAACATCTATAGATGCGTTTTCATTGCGCGATAATGCCTGGAGATCTTTAGCTGCCATGAGTAGTAGAAGATTGCAATTTGGCGCAGTAATAGTCGATAAAAAATTGATTGTCGCGGGCGGTAGAGATGGTTTAAAAACGCTGAACACAGTAGAATGCTTCGATTTCTCTACTCTTGCGTGGAGCACTCTACCACCTATGAACGTCCATCGTCACGGATTAGGTACGTGCCGAATTTGCGAAGTTAATACGCAATTTTATTCATTTGTAATAAAAACTTGATAAATAAATTAATTTTTTCTCAGGAGTAGCAGTATTAGGTGGACCTTTATATGCTGTTGGTGGCCACGATGGTTGGAGTTTTCTTGATGCGGTCGAGAGGTGGGATCCGGCAACGCGTCAGTGGAGTTCGATATGCCCTATGTCCATACAAAGGTCTACAGTCGGTGTGGCTGTGTTAAATGATAAGTAAGTCTACAGATAAATTATCACATTTATATACAATATCCGTTTTCAACCGTTTTCACATAAATTTTAGTGTTTTCATATGTGTGTGTGTGTGGGGGGTATATTTTATCGATTTAAAAAAATTTAATATTGAATTTTTAATGATTTTAATACAATTTTTTATAATCTTTTAGATTATATGCTGTAGGAGGAAGAGATATCAGTTCCTGCTTAAATACTGTAGAATGCTATGATCCGCATACAAATAAATGGACACCATGTGCGCCTATGTCGAAAAGGCGGGGTGGTGTAGGCGTAGGAGTAGTAAACGGTTGTCTTTATGCACTCGGTGGTCACGATGCTCCAGCTAGTAATCCGAATGCTAGTAGATTCGACTGTGTAGAAAGGTGAAGCCACTATTATGTCATTATTATGTATATTAAAATTTTCAAGTTGCGTGTAATGGAATGTAATAATATAGGTATGATCCTAAAACTGATACATGGACTATGGTTGCGCCAATGAGTGTTCCTCGAGATGCGGTCGGTGTATGCGTATTAGGTGACCGACTTATGGCCATAGGAGGATACGACGGTCAGCAATATCTCACATTAGTGGAAGCATATGATCCACATCTCAACGAATGGGAACCTGTGAGTGTATAAACTATTCCTGTGGATATAGTACAAAAATAATTTTTAAATGAATTTTTTAAATTTTATGTTTATGTTTAAAGGTTGCTCCTCTTAAGGCTGGCCGTGCAGGACCCTGTGTTGTTGTAAAAAATTTAACTAATACCATATAGATCATTTTTACTAAATAATCAGTAATTCTTGCTATTATGTAATTTATATTTGTAACTATATGTGATTTTAAGTGTTTCAGAAATATAACAGAATTTGCTCTCTTGTGATATCGTATGCGTGTTAATTAATCAAACTGTCATTTTTCTGAAACAATTTTAGATAATTTCATATTTAAATAAGTATTATATTTCTTCTTAGTATATAAGTAACTTTTATAGGATTTTTACACAATTTCGTACTGTACTGAGGAAATTCCAATCATTGTAACCATCAAACTATATATTTAGCATTTATTTGTACATAATACTTCGATTTTATATAAATTTTCAATGTAGCGAATAATTTTGTTATTGACAATGTGTGGTAATTTTTTTGTATCGATCATATTAATGTAAGTACAAACATTTTCAATAAAATATATAAATCTAAACACGATTTCTTTCATAAAAGTAACATTTTTCATAAGTGTCAATATTTTTCTTCTCTCTGTATAATAATAATAATCATATAATAAATTGTAAAACTATTTTTTTAGAAATAAGTGATATAAATCAAGAGTGCTAGTAAGAAATTTGAAAAAATAAATATATTTCAGATACAAATACTTTAAGTAATTATAATATTTGTGCCAAATTATACTGATAACTTTGTAAAAATCATAGTTTAATAAACTTAAAAAAATTGATAGAAGAATATATATATATAAGAACAAATTTATTTTTCTCATCAAGATAAATGTTTTTATTTACATATATGATATACGTTTCTATATTTGGCGATTATTATCTCTTGAAAGAAATAAAATTATATCAATTAATTGAAAGAAAATATTCCATATGTTTACATTACAACTGTTTACTTTTTTTCCTAACAAGCCGGAAAAGTCCTGAAACAGTGATAACAACAAATTATATATCTTTCACAAAATTAGAAACAAAAATCGTAAAGTCAAAAATATAAAAGATATGCACGTCTTATCTTTCTAAAAAAAAATCTTACACTATCGATGAACTCGTGAAAATAAAATATACTTTAGCTTACCGTGGAAAATCCGACGCTGGCTCTGCAAACTTGTGCCTAACCATAAACGTAGCAATAGCTTCCGCTACCTTATCCGGGACATCTTCGTGAACAGCATGCCCACAAGCGGGCAATACTTGCATTTGAAATTTACCTATTTTTATGAAAAAAATAAATAATTATTTTATTGAAAAATACTCAAAACTTGTGTCACAGCATCAGTGTATACTGATAACAGCACTGAAAATTATATACCTTGCATTTGTCCTACAGTGAGTTCACGATCTAATCTATCAACTCCTGCTAACAACAACATTTTCGGTGCAGGAACATTCAAGAATGCCGTCGATAATCCCTTAAACCAGCCAAACCAATGCTGCTCCGTTTTTGCCAAATCTATTCTCCAAACATATTTTCTGTTAGTAGTAATAGCAGAAGGTGCAGGTGGTGGCGGTGGCATATTGGATGACTCTTCCTCTTGGATAATATCATCTCGCGGTATAACTGGTTCTGGATTAGATTCACACTTGTTGTATTGGGTTGGCAACGAGTCTATATCATGAGTTGCTAATTTGCTAGTTTCAATGCTGAAATAGCACGTGTGTTGTATGACTCGATTATTTTAATATCAACATAAAAATATTATAAAAAACCTAAGTATCCTTAAGAACTCACTAACTTCTTTATCTGCCCAGGAACTGAAACCTTTGCCGATTGTATATTCCGAATTTGTCCACTACGA